AGATGGGATGTTTTGATCAGCAGCAACAATGGAGCCCCCCAGATAACAGCCCCTATTCACTCTCCCCAAGTTTATGCCAGACTATTATGAATCCCCAATCCACGTCCCCACCACACACATCCCTCCACATACTTGCCCACCTTCTCTGAATGTGATACCAAATAAATGTAAGACTGGCCTGGGGGAAGGCATTGCATCTCCAGAGATGTAGCCCCTCTAGCGTACGTTCTCTCTCTCTCTCTCTCTATCTCTCTCTCTCTCTCTCTCTCTCTCTCTCTCTCTCTCTCTCTCCCCTCTCCCTCCCCCCCCTTGGACTTTGAGTTGAGTTGTCTTTCCTCTATCCTGTGCAGCTCCCAACACTGCAGCCCAGCAAAGTGACACACCTCAGTGCAGGGCCATATCCAGGCCCTGTGCAGGGCACTGGGATACAGGGATGCTTACCATGTGGCCAGCTCTGGTCAGCCCTCAGGAAGCAACTAGAAAGGGAGCCAGACCATAACAGTTAAGTACAATCCTGCTGGAGAAACACCAGTGTGAGGAGAAACCCAGGAAATGAGGGAAGCCAGAAGTGATATCCCTACCACCAGGGTAGAGGGAATAGCCTGAGAAAACTTCCTGAAGACTTTACCAGACAGAGCAGGGAGAGCAGCACAAGCCAGCTTAGACAGGAAAGGGTGAGCTGCTCCCAGTCCCAGCAGCGAGGTTGTACCTGCTTGGCCCTGGATGCACAGCAAATGGTGGGAGATCTGGAAAGATTTTCAGCTAAGAAGTGACAAGGCTACTGACCGAGCTGTACAATAGAATAGCCACACGTTGCAGACAGCTATGTAACTTAAGGAAAGTTAAATGACTTTTAAAAAGTCTATAAAATATCCAAAGAAAGTTAAAAATAAGGCAGTTAAATTTAACTCAGTTAAACTCAGTTGATCAAACTCAGTTCCTCAGTAGTCACGTTAGTCACATTTCCAGTGCTCAGCAGTCATGTGTTGCTGGACTTGCAAACGGTGTAAATACACAACAGACATGTCCTGACAGAGATTTCTTTTGGATGGTCACTTTAGAGTGACCACTTGAGGATGGGTGGATGGACAGACAAAAGAAGCAGCAATGGCCTTCATGTTTACTGTGTGGCGGGCACCATCTAAGTGCTTCATGTGTATTGTTCCTGGAAACTTAGACATCAGGGGCACAAGGCTTTGGCTATTTGTCAGCATTTTTCTTAGGCTTTGTCTATCTCAGCTTCTGACTTCTCCTAGACCCAGAGTTAGTTTGGATATATTTTTTGAAGGGAGTATCTGGGGAGTGTTGGAGCCTCAGCTTTGCTGAAAGGTTACCTTCTCACCAGCCAACAGATGGCCAAGAAGTGACCCACTGGGAATCCCCCAAATTCCACCATGAACCTTGCCAGGAAGTCTTTCCAAGTGTCTAACTCACCTAATTGATAACTGCCCCTTTTGTTGCTCATTTCTGCTGTTTAATTTTTCACCTCAGAAAATGGACTCTGTGTCATATAATCCTCAGAACTCCTTCAAGTAGCTATTATTCTCCCCCACATTTACCCCAAAGAGAACCACCGAGTCATAGAGAGATAAAGTAACTTGCCCAAGGTCATACTTTATCCAAGATAATAAGTGGTGGGACCAGGATTCGAACCCATGGAGTCTGGCCCCGGAGTCCAGTTTGTAGCCATGGCGCTATACTGCCTCTCATCATAAATCTTGTAGAACTAGAAGACAGCTGCTAAGTGTACTTTCCACCTGTTTTGGCTGGAGTGGTATGAGAACTTGATTCCGTGCCAGAAAACCTTGGCTGAAAGTTATGCCCAGTCATAACACAAATGCCTCACATTTGGGGGACACTTTATGTCAATTTTAGAGTACTTTTCTTTTTTTTTTTAATATTAAATTTTATTTTTATATTCCCCCATACAATTGCAAACGCCCCATTCTGACCCCAATCCTTCCCCTCCCGCCCCCCACCCCCCAAAAAGTGTCTCTGGTTCATAGTTTTTTGTTGATTTTGATTTTCACTTTCTTATATTCATTTTCCTGGTCCCTTATTTAAGTTTTCTAGATTCCTGCTATGAGTGAGACCATCCGGTATTTTTCTTTTTCTTTTTGGCTTATTTCGCTGAGCATGATCCCTTCCAGTGCCATCCATGTTGCTGCAAATTGCATGTGTTTATCTTTTTTGAATGCTGAGTAATATTCCATGGTATATATGTACCACATCTTCTTGATCCAGTCATCTATTTTTGGGCATTTGGGTTGTTTCCAAAGCTTAGCTATTGTAAACAGTGCTGCTATAAACATAGGAGTGCAGGTGCTCTTTGGAATTGATGTTTCTGTGTCCTTTGGGTAAATACCTAGGAGTGGAATTGCTGGATCATATGGAAGCTCTATGTTTAGTAGGTCCAGAAATCTCCACACAGCTCTCCATAGTGGTTGGACCAGTTTGCACTCCCACCAACAGTGCACAAGAGTTCCTTTTTCTCCACATCCTCGCCAACATTTGAAAAATATAGAACGCTTCACGAATTTGCGTGTCATCCTTGCACAGGGGCCATGCTAATCTTCTCTGTATCGTTCCAATTTTAGTATATGTGCTGCCGAAGCAAACACTAGAGTACTTTTCTGCCAGAAGTAGTTATGGTAATAGTTATCCTACAGTTACACCATGTTTTTCTGTTTATAAAACACCTCCATTTGCATGTTCTCATGCAAATACGAAGAGGCCAGAGAAGGTGAGGCACCTGTTCAGGATTACCACCCACTTCCGCCACAGCCCCTCCACCCATGCCCTTTCTGGAACGCAGCTGTTTCTGGAATTCTGTGATCCATTGATCAGGAGCCTCTCCACCTTGTTGGTGGGTCTTCAAGTCAAGTCGGTGTAGGGAGTATAAAGCATGACTCTGTCACCAGCCCTAGAGGAGTTGAGGTCAGGACGCATCCAGTTATTTCAGAATAACTCAAGCCTTCCTCTTGCATTTTTTAGATGTTGCAAGAAACACCAAACCCACAGCAGAACTTAAAATGGGCCTTTTCTTTTCTGCCCCCACCACTGCATTTATAGATAGCAGTTTCTCCTGTGTCTTTGAAAATATTTATTATTAAAAATTGCCATATGGAGTAAACAGTATTGATAACCAATGTGTATGGTTTAAAGAATAATAGCAAACTTTCATGTCTCTCCCGGTTAGTTTATAAAACAAAGCATGATACTGCCTTCTGACTCTGCGAGGCCCCCTCCCATGCCCTCATGCCTGAACTGCTCCCTTGCATTTATTCTCTTGCTTTATAGTCTGTCTCAATCCATTTGGATTGCTGTAGAAAAATACCATAGAGTAGATGTCTCATAAACAACAAAAATTTATTCCTCACAGTTCTTCTCGAGGCCGGAAGTCCAAAGGTGCTGGCCCTTGGTCCAGTATCTGGTGCAAGCTCTCTTCCAGGTTCATAGGCTCCATCTTCTCAGAAAAACCTTGTATGCTAGAAGGGGTGTCTTTCATAAAAGCACTACTCCCCTTCCTGAGGGTCCTACCCTCCTGTCCTAATCACCTCAAAACCATCACCACATAGGGGATTAGATTTCAACACAAGAATTTGGGGAGGACATTATCACTCAGCGCAGAACATATTCCTGAACCACCTCTCAACCCTCTCCCTGAAAATATTTCCCCAGCCACAGCCCACAGATCTCTTGCACCTCAGTCCTTGTTCCTTGCCCAACACGGGTCTGGCATGACCTTTTTATAGGGAGGGTGGGGTGGGGGAGAGGGGAGGAGGGGCATGGAATAGTAAAGTGGATGGTTTTCCAATTTAGGAAAGTGGGGTGTTCGGCACAGGGAGGAACACAGCTTGCCAACACCAGGTGGGCTTCCCTTCTCACTGGCTCCTGGAGTGGTGTTTTGGCTGGGTCTCCAGAACAGCCCTCATCACCATGTGAATTTCTCAACAGTCTTTCACCAATTGGGGATTCCTGAAACTGTCATTTGTTCTATTTACTAAGCATGTATTATGTTTCTAGTAGAGTCATAGGTACAGGTATGTGGTAGGAAATGAGACAAATTTCCTGACCTAGAGGTATTTACTGTCTAAGGCAAGTCTTCTCCCTGCTCGTCCACTAGCTCTGACTTTTCCTTCATCCTGCCACTAATCTTTCATCCTAATACTAATCTACTCACTTTTAAAGGTTAGAGTAGGAATATATATATATTATATTTGTATATATTATATATTACATATATAATTAGATTATATATAGATTATATACATATATATACATATATGTATATATATATGGAAGTGCTTGGAAAAGCTGAGGAAGATTCTACAGACTTGGGTCATACAAACCGCGATCCCCAAAATGAAGTTGCTAGGCACTGAGGGTCTGGAGCTTTGGGTACTCACTCCTGTAGTTACCTGCATGTGCCACTAGATGTCAGTGATGTGTAGGAGGGGCAGGGAGCTCAGGGTACTGGGCTTTTGACAAAATTTAAAAAAGAGCGGAATAAATTGCTTACTTACTATAAAAATGATGCTGTTCTAAGGAAGTTATGACTGTTATATCATTTGACGTTTACAGAAATGCTCTGATTTTAAATATCACTCACAAAAACTCTCATGCCCATTCAACAGCCAAGGAAACTGGTGTCTAGAAAGGCGAGGAATGTAGGTGGTGGTGTTCCCTGCTCCGTCTGAAAGCACCAAGCCAAGATTGCTAAAGAGGCTGTAACAGTCCTGGTATGAAAGAGTGTTCAACCAGACCACCCTTTACTGCTACTAAACTGCTAAGAACAACATCTCCTCGAATGTGGGGCAATAAATGACCACACAAATACAAGACCAAGCTCTGCAGTCATTACAACCCCTGTGGGATAGGGTGGGGGAAGGGGATCGCCATGGACTATGGTGGGGGACTGTGGGTGATTTGGTGGTGAGAATTCTATGGTGACTACACCCGAGGGGGGAAATCTTATACCGTCAAAATGCTAGCAAGGGTGTAAAATAATGGTACTTCTATGATAATAAAAATAAACAAACCAAATTTGACAGTAACAAATAAACACATAAAATTAAAGCCTATGCATATCCGTAGGGTAGCAGCACATGTGCTCATTAGGCAGCTACAAGGTGCAGGTTGACGAGAGCCAAGTAGCAGCAGCAGGGCTGTCTGTGTACTTGTCAGGTATGTGGGAAGCAACAGTCGCTATTACCAGTGTGGGTTCCACATGAGGATTACTAAAAGGTCTCCAATGACCCAGATCCAGCCTTAATGAGCATGCAGATGCACAAGATGTCAGCCAGATCCTTTCTATGTAATCCTGAGTTCTGCTGAAAAGTTAGAGAAAAGTGAGGAAGGTGCAAGGTTAAATCCAATTGGCGAAAATATGCATGTAAGTAGTTCCAGTAAAGTTCAGTGAAGACATAGCTTCCTCTTGGTTTCAACCCCAAGGAAGCAAGTGCCTATGGGATGGGTAATGACTGGTCCAGGTCACACACAGAGGGTAACTTCTCTTACTTAAGTGTCCACAGACTTTAAATTCATGGTACTGGATAGGGCAGAAAATGAGTGTGACCTGTGGACAGAGAAGGCTTGCAAAGGAGAGAAGGGCTGGTGCAAAAAAAAAAAAAAAAAAAAAAAAAAAAAGTTATATCCCAGTGAGAGAAATCCCAGCAGCACTCCCTCAAAGGCTTCCCCCTCCAGGAAGGAAAGCCAGGTGGTGCCAGAAACAAAACAGAGAAGCCCAGCCTGGGAATGACTTAGGAATGAGGATACCCAGTCAGGAGGGTACCCAGTCAGGCTCAGAGGTCCTGATGGCAAGATTAGAAGATCCCTGTGTATCTCGGGTAACTGTGGCTACAGGCTGAGTTACCAGAAAGAAGATCTCAGCTCAGCAGGAAAAATGCTTGCTTGGTAGTAAATAAACAGTTTGTAAAGTCACTTCTATCCAGCTACAACACCATCTTCTTTTCACGCTGAAATGATCCACAGATGGTGAAGACGTTCACGACGTTGTTGATGGCTATGAGGTAGGCCTGTTGGCCATATTTTGTAGGTGGAGGGTGGGAGTCCCCAAGAGGGCCCTCTACTTGCCCAGCCTGGTCCTGCTGGAACTGGGGGAGATGGGGTGAATGTAGGTCTGCAATGTAGGTCCTGGGTCTGCGAGGTAGGTTTCTTTTCCCCTTTTTCTTATGGGAGTGAGTGAACACGTTACTGTAAGGATGGAAGCAAGTTCTGGAGGATTCCTCCAGCTTGCTTTTAGGCTGAGTGTGTGCACCCAGGGCTGGGCTTGGGAGTAGATGACAGCTGGAGCCCCTGCCTCCTACCTGGAGGTTCTCTGACTATGCTGAGAGGAAGACAGCACACAGCCAGGTGCCTTGCTTGAAGCAAATTCCTGGAGAGTGATGAACAGAGTGGGGGAGGAGGCTGCCAGGAGCCAGGGGCTGGGAGTAGGGTCTCATCTCGGGGGCAGGAGGAGAGAGGCTTGGAGAGATAAGCAGAGCAGGAATGATGTGAGCAAACAGTGTTTGTGAAAGAAAGATGATTCTCACCAAGCGCTGTGCCGGGGCGGGGGACACCCAGGAGACCTGCGTGGAGGCTTTTGAAGGCGCAGACACAAGGGTCTGGGCAGTCGAGACCCGCACGGCAGGCAATCCCGGGGACAGACAACTCTGTGAGTTAAGAATAATCCATGTACCTTTACAGACATGCTTCATTCCGTGCAGGATTTACCAGTTGGGGGATCAAAGCTCCCCTTTCTCCCTTTGGGATCCATTGCTACTGGATTAGTAGCTCGGACCAGTGTCTTTGTTTCACTAAATATTTGTCTTGTTCTGTTTTATTTGCTTGTGATTTGTTCGGTTTGTTAAGTCAGAATTCAGGATTTTATGAAGGTTTCTTACCTGTTTCAGATTTTGGTCTTAAAGAAATAGAAACATGTGAATGTAAACCCGTCAAGGAGTTTGGGCTGAGAAATACCATCTACTCTGCCTGAGGCTGCCAAAGGCTGTTGAGACAGATTCGATGTTCACTATTCCCTAGCGTCTTGGCAGTGCCACCCTGTGTGTTGCTGTTTCTATTCTGAGCTTCCAGGGCAAAATAGTGTTCACTCTTTCTCTTCACTTTTGGAGAAAGTTCAGAAGGAGCAGGAAATTCCTTTGGCATATTTTGAAGAGGACAGAAATGCAACCTGGCTTTTGTGTGGTGAAAATGTGGGAAATTTCAGTATCCAAATGTCTATGCTGGAGGAAGTAAGCTGAACATTCAGGCTGGGTTCCCGGGCCCCCGGCCTAGAGCGGGGGACACCTGGCAAGGCTGGGTTGCCCTGGAAAGTTAGTGGGTAATTCGTGTTAGAAAGCATAGGCGCAATTTTGGGCTCCTGCTGAGCCTCCAGGGTCATGGACTCCAGCGGTAAAAAAATAACTTCTCCTTATCAGCTTTACATGTCAACGAAAAGAAAACATCCCTGTGGCAAAGAAACAAGTCCTAAGAGCTGACTCCTTCAGCACAAGGGGAGAGGTTGGCACAGGGGAGGAAATGAAATCCTAGAAGCCAGAGTCTTCAGATATCTGTGCCACTGGCTGACCGCCTGTTCTCCAGAAGCCAGCTTGCCTCTGTTTCCTCATCTGCAAAATGGGTACACAGAGCACCACTCACAAGGGTTGTGGTGAGGGCTGTAGGAGAAGACTATAATCACTCCTTTTTGCTTAGCACATACTACACAAATGTTAGTTATTGCTATTGTTAGATTTGTCAGTGCAATTTTATTGAATCATGCACAGGCACAAATTAAAAGTGTGTATGTGCACATGTGCGTGGGCATTCATCCACACCAGAATCGGCCTTCCAAGAAAAGGGTTTTAAATGTGTGAGAAAGGAACAAATTGTTTCCTAAGAGGGTGGGATACCCTGGGAAATTTTCTACAAGTTGCAGAGACTATGCCTTCTCCTTTCCAGAATATTCCAAAGAACAGAAGAAAAGTCAGCCAGTGGCCCAGCTGTTGATTTTCTTGGGCTGAGGGTCCATATGTTTGGCTGAGTTAGTTCTGGCATCCTGGTCCTGGGGGTGGTGCAGTGCATGTCCCAGGGAATCGCTGCCCTGGGCGCCTTCCAGACAGCTGCTTTGCTGCCCTGAAGCCACAGCACAGGGGAGGTCCAAAGCACACCAGGGGAAGGGGAAAAATTGGCACTTTCCTGCTTTGGGTAGGCCTTGTAGGCCAGGGAGCTGCAAACTGCAGGAGGTGGAGGGGAACTCTCCAGGGGCCTCAGCATTGAACTGAGTGTCTGCGCTGATGAGCTCCATCTGGAAATCTCCCCCAGAACAATGGCATCAGCAGTTTTATCCTATACTTTGGCAATACATCATCCTGAATCATCCCCTTGTTGAGTCAACAGCCATTTCTTCATTGACCAGGGGCTCAGGGTCAGCCACATGCTGTGCACCAGGGGAAACAGGGCAGTGGTGACAGAGAACATTCATCAACTCCTTAACATGAGCCAGCACGATGCTGGGTTCTCTCCGGGGATCCCCATCATGGTGGGACCCTGAGTGAGAAGGCATTTTCCACACCTTGCAGAATAGGCAACTGATAACCAGAGAGAAGTTACTTGTGGAAAGTCACAGCTGGTAAGAAGTGCTGGCGTCCAGGCCCAGGCTCTGATTCTAGAATCCACACTTGTAACCTGGACTGCCTGCATCATTGCCCTGATGTGAGGGAGTCACCCTAAATCGGAGAAACTGAGAGGCCAATCACAAGGCATAGACCCTCACTGCCTTAACCCAGGCTGGCCCGTGGCTCCAGGCTAGATGCTGCAATATGTTATGGAGGTGTGGCGTGGGGAGTGGGGAAGAGGAGGTTAGAAGCAACTCAGCAACTTGAGCCCTAGCTCTTCTGTTTATTAGCTGTGGGGTATTAATCCCTCCCAATTTCTGCAAATCTAATAAAAATACATTTTGCCAGATTAAGGAAAGAAATTGTAATAATGGGTGTCCTGGTATCTCTTGGGTGTGTGTTTTTGAGTGGTGAGTATGATAATTGCTGATAACAGGGAAGTTATGGCTTCTTGGGCAGTAGGGAGACCTAGTCAGTGTAGGGGCTCAAACTGGAAGAGGCCTCAAGATGCAAGAGGTCCATGGCCCCCCTGGCAGGCTGCAGGCCTGGATGTCTTCCTGTCAAGGGAACCCATCTTTGTTTATAACTTCCCAGGACTGGATAAGACGGTGCCCTCTCAGCACCCATTCAAACTTCTGAAGGCATTTGGAAGATTGCAAGCGAATGTATACTTCCTATCAAACGCATAAGTTATAAGTTTTGTTTCTGTTGGTCAAGAAAGACTTGCTGAGGAAGGGATGCTGCATAAGGAGGCAGAGTATAAGATGCAGAGGTTCAAGCTTCAGACCTGGGTTCGAATCCTGCTTACTGCCTAGCCCCATCTCTTGACTCTGAGTTTCTGTTTCTGCCTAGGGAAAGGCCACCCCTTGAAGGACCAGGTATGGGGCAGCTTCCTGGACCCCATTCCCAAGAGTGGCCTGGCCCTGCTTCTTCACCCTCTCTCCCATCCCCTATCAGGCAAGCCTGAAAATGCCCAGGCTGACCCAAGAGCTTGGAGAGGGACACGCCTCCTGCCAGGCAGGGCTGCCTGCAAGTCATCTTGCAGGAGAGAGGAATCGATCTGGCCCCATGCTGGCTCTGGTCTCATATCCTTTGACCCATCCCTGGACTAAAGCACAGCTTGGAGCTGGTGCAGGCGCTGATCTGGGACAGCCTGGAGCCACTAGCAGCCTTGTAAATCAGGCCCTGGCCTTTGAAGCTTCTGCATGCTCTCCTGGAAGAGACTGAGTGACTTGATCTTCTTACAGCAGGGGCTCCTCCTCCCAGGTCTGGAGTCTCCAGGGATGGCTGGAGCCTGATTTATGGAGGCCTCTGATAGCAACAGCCTAATCTGGAAGGGGAGGCCCAGGAAAGAATGAGTATGCCCTATGACCTGGCCTCCCAGGCTCGGGAGACAATCCTGAAGGGAGGGCTACCTCCCTTGGGTTCTGCATGGACAACGCTCCCCACCCCTCTGGAATCTGGCCCCCCTTGCTGGAAAGAGTCATTTCTTCCTTTCAGAGCCCCTTCAGAAAAGGGTGAGGGGAGGAGATCCGTCCAAAGCTGGCATCCTTGGAGGAGAGAGGATGGCGCATGACTCTATGTTTGGAGTCAGAGCTGGGCCTATATGACAGCACCGCCATTTCTAAGGTTTGTGAGCTTGACCACTATTTCACATTCCTGAGTTTTGGTTTTTTGTTTTGTTTTGTTTTGTTTTGTTTTGTTTTTGTCACATGAGATTAATAAATGGAACTGGCATCATTTGTAGGAGGGAAAACACAAGCCAACAGATACAAAGCATAGTGATCAGCTCATCTTAGGCATCTAGAGTGTTCTTGTGCCTTCTTCCTCTCTCCTCAGTCCAGACACTCCAGCTACCTGGCCCTAGACCCCATGCTCGTTCGAGTCATTGTGCAGACCTGCGCACAGAAATATCTATAAATTATTCCCTGACTATCCCAAGCTTCTGGATCTATGCTATCTATAGAACTCTCTACCCAAATGGAAATGTCTTTACACTGCTCAATAGAGTATACATTATCCACATGTGGCTCTTTTATTTTCTGAAATGTGTAATTGAGAGACTGAATAATTGTTCGTTATAAATATGTGTAACTAGCTACCTGTGGCTACTGGCCACCATATAGGACAGCAATGGCCTAGACCTTGAAGAAGATCTGACTTGTCATTTACTCCAGTTTGTAGCACTGCAAGTTGAGTCACATTATCTCTTTGCCCTTCCTCACTTATAAAATAAGACCTTGTGATAGAACTAAATGGGGCAAGATATGGCCTTGTTCAGTGAACACACAAGTTCAATATGATTATTTCATGTTGATTGAGCTATGAAGGGTCAGAGAGGAGGCCTGACCCAGTCGTTGGGACAGAAGTGCAGATGAGATTTGCTCCTGTGAAACAGAGACAAGTGGGTGCAGGTCTAGTCCTCTCCGTTTTTTCTGACCTCTAAGCTACTCCTACTCTGGCCTGGGCCTCCTTCTTTGCTCCCAATATGTTCCACGTAAGACCATAATGCTTCATAACTGGGTCACATGGTTACTATTAGCTGCAAGGGAGGCCAGGAAAGGAAGTGTCTGGTGAGAGGAAGCAAACCTGCCTTGATTCTTTTTAGCCAGTCTTGATTTATTATCTGGAGTTGCATGTACTGCCTCCCCTGAAAACACTGGGTGTGGTTAGCGTGGGAGAATGGGCAGAGAATGACTCTTAGGTTGGCCACTCACTGCCTGCCTTGAGAAGCAATGAACAGCTGGTTTATAGCACTTTATAATTTACTATGCACTTTTGACTTATCCTTCTGTTTGAGCCTCTTGGATTTGTGAGACCGCCTAGGGCTTGCAACCCCCAATTTTACACGTGAGGAAAATGAGACTCTGAGACGTAATAGGACTCATTTGGCCAATAAGTCAGAGAGACCCCAGTTATCCAGACTCTCGGGCTGCCTCCTGCAAGTTGCTAAATAACCTTAGCTGAGAGCAGAGATTAGAGGTCCTATATCTGTTCATCCCAAATATCTAACTCAACAGCCTAGCACATAGAAGATCCAACACTAAATGTTGGATGGATG